AACAGAATTTAAAGTTCTTACCGAACCATGTTGGGTTGTAGTAAAATAAAATGACTTAATGATTATTTCCTGAATCGCTATCTGTGACATCTGACTGTCTTAAAGGGCTTTTGATCTTTGAAAGCTCGGCCAAAATATTTGTTGGAAAAGATAAAATAAAATGAAATTGATTCCATGGGATAAAGGGATTGAACTAGGAATATTATTTGAAAATATTTAAACAGGGAGGGAAAAGCAACAGAGCCTTTAAGAATGAAAAATTTCAGAACACTCTGCAGTTCAAATGAGTAACATATCATAAATTTTACTGACTACTTCTGTGGTATTTCTAACTTGCTTCTTTTTATTTTATGCGCTCCTATAAACCTGCCTTTCCCTCCCAAGAAAACCTTAAGTTTTTAAAAATTAATGATAAAAACAGCAAGTAATATTTACTGAGTTTATACAGGCACTGCTCTTCATACTTTACATAAATTCACTTAGTCCTTACAGCAGCCCCATGAATGAGACACTACTATTACCCTCAATTTACAGATGAAGGAATTGAAACCACAGAGAAGAAATGGAGGTAGTTTATCCAGCTGAGAAAAAGTGGGTTAGAGTTTAAACTCAGGTCTTCCGGCTCTAGAATACCAAGTTACATCCAATGCTCTACTAGTTTTCATGTAAGAAAATTGACCAGGACTAAGGTTTTCTGCAAATCAGCATTGTGCCCTGTAACCATCTTTTAGTGCATATATTCTGATTAGAATGTGTAGTGACTAAGTTTCCCAACAGTAGTTTCAACAATCACTTCTCAGAAGTGCATCCTGTCACAGCAGTTTTAAAATAAATAAAGCATGCCACCAAAACATTGACCGTAGTAGAATATAGGCGACTTTACTTCTTTTATCTTTTTGGTAATATCCTAATATTTCCCTCTCTCTCCCCATACAATATATATATATATATATATATATATATATATATATATATATATATATATATATATATATATATATATTATAAAGAAGACATGGATTACCAGTACAATTAAAACATTCAAAGTAGATTAAGCTTTATGGAAATAATGAAATAATAATAACTGTTACTTATTACCTAATACAGGCAAATCTTTTACATATATTATCTTTATTCTTGAGTAACTTCCTATTTTCCAGATGAGATTGAAGCTTGGAATGAATAATAACCTTAATTTACAGAACATGTAATAGATCCTAGAAGCCAGATTCAAACCAAATTTACTAGACTAGAATCCATGTTCTTTCTACTCTACAATGCAGCCCCTCCAAATGCCAAATATCTGTCTTTTGTTATTAAACACATGGAAGAGATCTTTCTAAAATTTTATAATCTTCTTAAATAGAAAATGCTGAACATTTTAAGTTCAAACTTATCATTTTGAATATCCATGAATATAGATTAACAAGAGCTATTTTCACCTAATCAAATGAGCCTGGGTTATTACAATTTTAAAATCAGTTGGTTTGCTGTCTGATTTATCTTCTTGCCCTTGCTTGTCAATGTGCCTGCCTCTACTAGGAGCACTTGGCACAGCAACAATTTGCTGCTTCTAATACCTGTGGAGTTAAGATGCCAGTTAATTAAGCCTGTTTATAAGTAAATAAACTGAGTAAGGACCTGAGAAAATATAGTTTGTGTCTTATATTTGGGGTTAATTTTTAAATTTATTTCCTGGTTATGGGTAAGTGGAGCTTGGTGGAAAAATTACCAGGAATAAGTTAGCTACCAGTATTTAAATATAGAGATAATAGATACTTGTGCTATTTTAAAAATCACTTTATTGCACTATAAAAAATCTTAGGTTTGAAAGCAACTATTGTGTTAATCTAGTTCGATCTCCCATACACTGAGAAATCCCCTCTGCAGCATTGCTGACGTTCAAACCTTGCTTAAGCAACCCTAATGATCTGCAGTTCACTGCTTCATGACACAATCTTCTCCACTGTTGACAAGCCCTATACCTTCTCTCAGCTAGAATTAATTTTGGCCTCAACAGAAACAAATGTACTCCTGTGGAGTTTCTCCAACTCTTCCAAAGTCTTCTATTTTCTGAACAAAATAGTCCCAGTCCCCTCAATCTAGATCATCAGAGTTGCCCTTTCATTTAGTCACAAAAATGATTAAAACAATTCTCTTTTCCTTCAAGGTTTATCAAACAATGAAACCAACTTTTGGACATTCATGTTTTGTAGGTTAATAGATCTAGTTCATCCATCTTGGTCATACACAATTGGTATGCTAGGAATGACTTACAGACATAGCTCGAATTCTAATTGAACAGCAATAAATTTTTGAGTTTTCCCTTCTTGCCACTTCCCCCCTCCCAAATACCACAAAACAGAATCTTAAAAGATACCCTTAATCGTAACGTATTGCTAGATTTAAATGTTCTCACTTTAGGCGTTTATCTACCTTCCCATCACTTATTTCCTGTAATGATACTAAAACATACAAAATTGTTTAAGCTACTTTCAGAATCATGAGCTCACCTATGACAGGTCCAGCTCTGAGGCCTTAAAATTCTGACCTTTTTTTCCTCTTGGATTGAGTATCTTCCTAAATTTTTTGTTTTCCAGAAAAAAAATTTTTAATAGTTTATGTGTAAAATAATACATACACATTTTATATATACAATATGTTACATATCTATGTGCACAGATCCACACATATGTATGCATAAACACACACACACACACACACACACACACACACACAAGATATATAAAGATAAAGATGGCTGAAGAAGTGAAAGTCACCAGAAAGTTTTGCTGCATCCCAAAGCAAATCATCAGCCAATTTAAAGTAGTATCATCAGTATAAAATAAGACTACCCATATATACCTAAATTATTTTTCTGGTTTTTGATTTTACTAACAGAGAGAACAAGCCATTCTTTGAAATGCCTTAGGCCATTTCTAAAAATCAAAGCAAAGTGAAATAACAACTAAATATCTATTTAAAGAGTCCCTAAATAACAATTCGAATAAAACAAAACCCATCCCAGTCACTAATGAGAAGTTCACTGGCAAGAACCTGGCCAATGCCAGTACAAACCTAGCCTGCAAATGAAAGTATCATCCGCATCACCTCATGAAGTCAGCAACATGCTATAAACTATATAGCTGTATTGAATTCAGCAATACTAAGCACTTAGTTCATCACAAATCCTTATTAAGAGTAATAATATAATGTCAAGGTTAAAAATCTATTATATCACCAAACCTTCCATGCAGCTCTGTTAAAAAAAAACCCAACAACTCACTTATGCAATGCCATTCCTCTGACTAGCGCATGTAATTATAAGGACAAAAATCATAAGGGATAGTAGTAGGTTCCCTTAATTATGAAATTAGTCTAAAGCTTTGTTGTTTATTCATTTCTTAGTATTGTAAAAATAAAATCATGTTCGCATAAAAAAATTAATCCACCAGAAAGATTATACAGAAAAATATGAGTCTTCCTATTCTAGACCTGCAGTCTCATCCCTCAGGAATACCTGTGTCAATCATCTATCTATCTATCCAAATAAATATAACATAATAGTATATTGTATAGATTTAGAGAAATTTTGCATGCATATATATGTGTATGCTTTTGAAAACATACTATACATATAGTTCTATATTGTTTTTCTCAGTTAACAATGTATCTCACAGAGATTTTTCCATATTTCCACCTATGGATCTGCTTCATTCTTTCTAAGAGTTGCAAAGTACTATATTGTATTAAGGCATTTATTCAATCATTCCTTGGTGGGGGATGTTTAGGCTACTTCTAGTATTTATTTATTTACTTATTTGTCTATTTAAAATAATAATATGATGAATATCTTTATATACAAATTTTTGTGTGCAAGTACAAATATATCCAAAAGATGAATTCCTGGAACTACTGTCTGATTTTTAGAATTTAATAATTTCTAAGTAAGAAGCCAGTGTATCTACAAAAGGGATAAGGAAAACCACAAGTTTAAAGCGTAGTGATTAATAGTTGCCAAGCAAAATTAGAAGTTAAAATTTTAAAAATTAACAAATTCTTAAGCTAGGAAAGGTAAAAAAGAAAAAGAGATGCCGGGACCGGTTTAGCTCAATGGATAGAGCGTCGGCTTGGGGACTGAAGGGACCCGGGTTCGATTCCGGTCAAGGGCATGTACCTTGGTTGCGGGCATATCCTCGGTAGGGGGTGTGCAAAAGGCAACTGATCGATGACTCTCTCTCATCGATGTTTCTAACTCTCTATCTCTCTCCCTTCCTCTCTGTACAAAAATCAATAAATAAAAAAAATAATAATAAAAAGAAAAAGAAAAAGAGAGAAAATTTATCCCCTGGGATAGAAAGATAAAAGGCCTGGAGAATAAATCATCTGAGAGATCTTTTTGAAAAGAGGAACAAAAAAGAAAATAGCACTAATAAGACAGGATAAGGAAAAAAAGATATTTGGGGGCCTTTTTTCTTGTTTCAACCTAAGGCATAAAACTGGTCAGAAGGTTTGAGACATATTATTCTAGAATCAAAGTTGGATATAAGATTATTTAAATGGCTATTTGAGGCCTCATTGCTATAGGGTACCCATAGGTTGATAAGACTTACCAGACTACCAGTGTTGAAAGAAGCTCTAAAAAAAAAAAAAAAGAGAGAGAGAAAAAGAAAAAAGAAAAAGAAAAAGAAAAAGAAAAAGAAAAAGAAAAAGGGAAGGGGAGGGGAGGGGAGGGGAGAGGGGAGGGGAGGGAAGGGAAGGGAAGGGAAGGGAAGAGAAGGGAAAAGAAAGCAGAGTAGTAATCTAGTAACCTTCCAGGAATGATACAGAGGGAAATAGAAGGACTGCTTCATACACACAGAACAAACCTCTCTTTGGAAGGTCCACATTAAAACTTAATTTAAAGAGATTCAGCCTATTTTGCAATCACAGTCCTACAATTTCTTATTCCAATCCAGAGCTATTCTCTCATCAAACATAAAACACAGTTGATAACTTACCTTTCCCAAAGTGCTAGGATTTGAATGCCACAATACAAAATGACTCATGTTTTTGTCCATTAACGGTCCGTGGGTTTCTTTAAATGAAGTCCATGTTAGAATCCATGGATATCAGTGTTCTGCAAAACTGAAAACCTCAAGAATGTCAATGCACAAACCCAAGTTACCACTTGGATACCAATTTACTATGAATGCTAGTTATAATAGTTACCATTATGAATACAGGCATTTAGATGTGCAAAATAAGTGGGTATGACATTGAACAGCAGATTGAGGTAGCAAAATCAAACTTTATTTTTAAGTAAGACATTAATATTCAAGTAAATCTAGAGGGTCTCGAAACCTAACTTTATACCATATTTATATACATTGAAAAGTTGACGCCAAAGCAAGAACATACAATGATGGAGGTGACTTGGATACCAACACTTTCCAGACATTGGGAAAACAAGTTTGAAAGGCAGGCAAACTTTAAAAATTTAAATGACTGCAATATTTATTTACATGTCTACTTCTTGTTTTTTCCAACCTATTTTTAAGAACATCTCAGATTTCTTTTTTAATCTAAAAATGCTTACTAGTTTCTGCTTTGTAAAAATAAACACACAAAAGCAACAAAACGAAAACAAAGCCATAAATTCAGGTTTGCCTATGGCATTATGTCCAATTTAATAATAAGATCTAGAACCTCCCAGGAGCCATTATCACCTTCTGGGACTGCAGCTAGGTAGTGATTCATGCTCAGATCCCATTACACAGCCGGACAGCCAAAACCAACCTGGTTCCAGTACTTGTTCTTTAGATCCATCCCCACTTTTCATCACATTTAAGGCATCTCAACAAACAGTTTACAAAGGAAACAACTTAATCTTCTGTGATTTATTCTTTTGGAGGCCTCCTACAACTGTTTGGAAGAAGTTAACCTTATGTGAACCCACCAGGTGAAATCTCGGACCGGATTTTTATAAATTACTATTGTCACCTCGGTTATGAAGTAATTCTTACTTACATCTCAGTGAGATGTAAAGTACCTCAATATATATATAAAAAAAGAAAATATTAAGGAAAAATGAGTTCATATTTATGAGAAGAAAGCACTTAGAACACAAATTAGAAAGAAGCTCAGTGCTAGAGCTGCAGCTTATCATTTGAGGGCCAAGTCCTCTCCGGAATCATTCATCTGGAAGTTTTTTTTCCAGAAGAGTGAAGAAACCTGAAAGAAGTCAAATCAATCGCCTTCTCTTCCCATGCCAAAAATAAAATATAATAAAGTAAAAAATAGGAAGGCACATTTCTAAATGTCAATAACGACAAAACGATGCCCGGAATCTCTACCACACCGGCATCCTCATAAACCACTGGTTAAGGAACCACACTGGAGTCCCTTCCACATTCAGAGGCAGGGGCACTAAAATTCGGGGCAAGGTCCCCCCAACTCCACCCAAACCCCTCACCCCCGGCGAGGCAGGCAGCTCCGTGCGTTCATCCGTTCCTATTGGAAGGCATGTAAAGAATGCCCGACAGCGGCAAAGCACAGGATGCGGAGATGGAAAGGCGAAGCCTCTGCCAGCTGCTAGCGGAGCTGCGCTGGGGTCAGCGCGGGCGGCAGCTCAGCTCCAGGACAGCGCATCTCAGCGCCCCGGCTCCTCCATCTCTCCATCCCCGAGCGCCCAGGCTCCGGCGCCCACGACCCCCAGTCGTGACCGAGTCCTGGAGACTCAGTCAGCATTTCCCCGACGACCTCGGGGCCCTCAAGACCCCGTCCCCAAAGTTTCCTGTATCCCCATCACCCTAGGAGGTCCACTCCAAGGAGCCTGTCCCCCGGCCACCCCCTAAGATGAGATCCACTTCCCCCGGCCCGAGCGTGGGGCCCCCGAGCAAACGGGGCCACCCACCCTCACCCACAGCCTCGCCAGGGTTCAGGTCCACGGCCGGCAGGTTACCTGTCAGAGATCCAAGGCTCCAGGAGGACCCGCGAAGCTCCTCCCCGTCCATCGCGACTCCCCTCACGCCCGGCACCGCCTCCGGGGCGGGACTTCCGCTATCTCACTTCCGGTCCCGGTGGTGGTCCCCAGGCCGCTGCCCCGCTGAGAGCCTAACCTTTCCTATTGATGTCATTTCCCACCCGTTCCTGGGTCCCCGGGATCCTGGGGCGCTTGCAGGTCCCATCCACCGGTTCTTGCCCGCCTGCTTTCCTAATCGCCGCTGGGTAAAGCAGCCCCGAGAAGTGCCTTTTTGTTTGTTTGTTTGTTTGTTTTTCAAACTCCTGTGCCATCCTCTGCAGCCTTCTCTTCAGCAGACACTTGCCTCTCTGCTCCTTTTGTACCTTGAGCTCATCACTCTTCCAAACTCCTCTGTTCCCTCGGAGAAATCACCGGGTTGTTCTGGTGATTCATCTGATTTTTTTTCCTCCCCGATTCTCCTGTCCGAATCTGCCTGTCTGGTGTAACGGTGTCACCGAAGCAAGTTACGTAAGCTCTGTGCCTGCTTCTTCAAGGGTGAAGAGAGAGCACCACTCCAGGACACAGAGTTGGCGTGTGTGTGTGTGTGTGTGTGTGTGTGTGTGTGTGTGTGTGTTTGTGTGACTTGAGACATAGCACGTGGAAAGCGAAGGCACAAGGGAAACATTCAAGGGTTAAAACTATTTCAAGAGCTCTCTTGTTCCCTGTTGGACCATGTAAGTGATAAGGAAGGCAGGAGCCCGTGTTCCTGGTATCCTTTCCACAGCTTTTACTGCAGCGAATAATTCACGATGCTTAGCATGTTCCCCCTTCCATGGTGAGCTCCTCCGGACAAAGATGGCATATTCCTCACCCAAGGATTTTTTTCCCCCATTGATTTTTCAGAGAAAGTGGCAGGAGAGAGAGAAACATCCTTGTAAGAGAGACACACGATTGATTGCCTCCCACGCTCACCTGCAGGGGGGAATGGGATGGAACCTGCAACCAGGTACACGCCCTTGACCTGAATCCGCTCTAACCACTTGCCAGGGCCAAAGATGGTATCTTAATGGGAGCTAACTTCAGCCCTAGTTGGAAAATCACCTGCTTGGTTATTGTGCTAGAGGGGAAAGATGAATAATACCCAGGCCCTGTCCTCAAAACCATGAAGATACTTAATAAATTATGGACAGAAGAAAGTCATCCCAGGAAAAAACAAGAGGGAGCAGCTTAATTGAAGATATATCCTGAGAACAAAAAAATTCAAAGAATGTTAGAATTGAATTTTTTTTTTTTTTTTTTAGAGATAATAATTTAGTTAAGCTTTTGATGTTACAAGAAACTTGGATCCAGCTGAAACCGGTTTGGCTCAGTGGATTGAGCGTCGGGCCTGCAGACTGAAAGGTTCCAGGTTTGATTTTTTTAAAAAAATATATTTTATTGATTTTTCACAGAGAGGAAGAGAGAATTAGAGAGTTAGAAACATCGCTGAGAGAGAACCATCAATCAGCTGCCTCTTGCACACCCCCTACTGGGGATGCGCCCGCAACCAAGGCACATGCCCTTGCCCGGAATCAAACCCGGGACCCTTCAGTCCGCAGGCCGACGCTCTATCCACTGAGCCAAACCGGTCCCGGCCCAGGTTTGATTTTGGTCAAGAGCATGTACCTTGGTTGTGGGCACATCCCCAGTGGGGGGTGTGCAAGAGGCAGCTAATCAATGATTCTCTCTCATCGATGTTTCTAACTCTCTATCCCTCTCTCTTCCTCTCTGTAAAGAAAAATCAATAAAATATGTTTTTAAAAAAAGAAAGAAAGAAAATTGGATCCAGAGAAGCAAGGGATTAAAAGTCATATAATTAGTGGCAGGGTTAGGATCAGAGATGAAGTTTCCAAATGTTCACCACCTCCTCCATCCCCAAATTTGTCTCAAGGTGTTAATAAGGTAAAAGCAGACCTTCAAGACCTTCACTCTCAAGTAAAAAAAAAAAAAAAAAAAAAAAAAAAAGAGTGGGAAAATTCCAGTCCAGAATAGATAAGAGCAATGTAACCTAGCAGATACTGCACAGTTATGATGATCATTTTGTTTAAAATAATAGAAATGTAGCCACTTTAAAATGGAGCCAGAGCAGCCATCCAGAGGAATTACCTTGACATCTTAGGCCTCAAACCTTTAGAATGTTAAAACAGAGCAAAATAACCTTTAGATGGGGCCTAAATCAACATTGTGTCCCAAAGAACTGTTTGCAAACATAGCAAGAAATCAGATATTATGACTACTGGACTGAAAATTATTTTTTTTTTAAAATTTACATCACTATGTTAGCTTTTCTGCACAAATAGAAATGCTTTCCTTTTATGGATGTAATTTCCCTCTTTTCCTTTCCATAAATACCCTTTGCCTTTGTATTCTAATTGGAACACTATTTGGTTTTCTTCCTGAGTCAGTGATTCTCAAAAAAAAAACACTATTGTTTTCTATCTCCAGCATGTGGGCATCTGCTAAACTGGCTTGCCACACTTAGATTCGGCCCATAGGAGCCCAGAATAGACTCAGGCAGTTTATCGTTTACACGGTCAGCAACAGAAAGATCAGCTCCCGGTGTCCCTGGTCCCGCAGGCCCACACCAAACAGGAGGAGGACTAGATGACAGATGACAGGAACCCGTTCGTCCCTGAGTTGTTAAGGAGCAAGGAGGGGCCAGCACTTGCAGGAACCTGTAAAACTTTACATTTTACAGAGGGCTACTAAGGGGGCAGGATAGAGGGTAGCGGGTAGTCGCAAAGCAGAAAGTTCTGTGTTCCACTGAAACCAGGGAGACAGGAGACACCACTGTGTCTGACTCCTCCAAGGGGGCCAGGGGATGGCAAACCTCGGCTTGCTGGCAGTTCCACCCATTTTCCATCGTCTTGGTGGCAGAAGCAGGCAGCAGAGCCAATCCAGAGAAAGAGGATGAGCGTTTGCAGAGCTGGGGCGGGGGTCCGGGGAGCGGGGCGGAGGAGCGGGGGGGGGGGGGGGGGGGGGGCCGGAGGATGGGGGCGGGAGGCGGGAGGCGGGAGGCGGCGCCGCGCTCGCATTGGCCCAGCGGGCGCCCCTCCTCGCGGGGCCGGGCGCGCGGGGAGAGGAGCTCGGGCTGCGGTGGGAGGCGGCGGCGGCGGTGACCCTGGCACCGGGGAAACATGGCAGAGTATTCGCGGTTGCGGAGCTGCCTGGCGCTGATTCGCCTCCGGAACCCGCCGCTCAACCCAATCAGGTAACGGGCTCGGGTCGCCTCCGGACTGGGTTCGGCGGGGCTGCGCCCGCCGGCCTGCGGTGCAGACTCTGACTCTCCCCGCTGATCTGAGCAAGACCCACATTGAACGTGAATTTACGCCAGGGCCTTTGCATAGGTTACCTGGGTTAATCTCCGTAGAGAACGCCGTTTGGGGAGGAAAACGGGCCGAGAGGCAGGCCGATGGCTGCAGAGGAGGGGAGCTGGACTGGCACCCGCCTGCCTGTGCCAACTTCGTGCTGCACCCTCCTCCGGGCCTGCAACTTGGACTTCGCAGGCCTGCTTTCTGCTCCAAAGGTCTCCGTGCAAAACTGGCTGGACTTTGATCCCTCACTTCCCAATCTCTAGTGGAGGCCACTCACTAAGAGCTTTAGGAACCCGACAATGTGGCTTCACCTATACAAAAAAAGTAAATAAAGGCCCCTCAAAAAAGTAAATAAATGCCAACACAGCGAGGAAAGGAGACTTGTGCCCTGGCCCAGAAATGCAAATTTCTCCTGATACATTCCAAACCTCCAGACCTTAGTGTTTTAGCAGACGATCCATGCCAGCCAAAGCCTAAGTAGCATTTTCTGAAAAAGCTATGCACGTTACCCTCTTGTATTCCATCATGAGAACCTTTTCTGCTAGACGTTGTAACCCAGATTCGTGCAGTGCTGTCTGCGTGACTTTGAAAAGTGAGAGGAATGCGCTTTTATGAAAATTAATGACGTTATTGTATAGGTCTGATTCTTCCATATCTCAGAAAAGAGTATAGTGATCGGCCCTCGGAAAAAGACACCCTTCCACAGGGAATGGGATTAGCAGAAGTTATCATTTAAATGACTCTACAAAGTATAGGAAGACCTTTGTTTAAATTCTTATCACATGCTGTGGGAGCAAGCAAAAAAAAAAAAAAAAAAAAAAGGACTGAGATGAGGTGATTTGTTAATTTTAACTGAATTTTAATCCTGTCATCTGATTTGATTTTATCATTAGTATTAATATTTATTCTTTTTTATATGAATTATTGCGTTTAATAATACGAAAGAATTGCAGGAGTAAAACTACACAAGAATGACCTGTTCACTCTCTTGCCATTCTCAGAAGAAAGCAAAATATTCGTTATTTTGGTTTTGATGAAGAAACACTTCAGCAATATGATTACATATACATTTTGGACTTGTCTCTATTGTAATTAGAATTATTAGAGATTAGAACTGCCTGCCTCGACCTCTGCTCATAATGGGAAACCATGCCCAAAAAGAATTTGAAGAGGGCCGAAACCGGTTTGGCTCAATGGATAGAGCGTCGGCTTGGGGACTGACAGGTTCCGGGTTCGATTCCAGTCAAAGGCATGTACCTTGGTTGCGGGCACATCCCCAGTAGGGGGTGTGCAAGAGGCAACTGATTGATGACTCTCTCTCATCGATGTTTCTAACTCTCTATCTCTCTCTCTTCCTCTCTGTACAAAATTAATAAAATATATTTTAAAAAAAAAGAATTTGAAGAGGAAAGTTCCACAGTCTAATACTCATAGCTAGGAATATTTTCTTAAAACCTTTTTTATTTTATTTATTTATTTTTAAAAAAATACATTTTATTGATTTTTTACAGAGAGGAAGAGAGAGGGATAGAGAGTTAGAAACATCGATGAGAGAGAAACATTGATCAGCTGCCTCTTGCACACCCCCAACTGGGGATGTGCCCGCAACCAAGGTACATGCCCTTGACTGGAATCGAACCTGGGACCTTTCAGTCCACAGACCATGGCTTTATCCACTGAGCCAAACCGGTTTCGGCTCTTATAACCTTTTTTAATGTTTAATGAATTTAAACCACTGTCGCCTACCTTGCAGGAGAAATGTTAGTATCTACCTCATAAAGTTGTTATGACGTTGAAATGTGCCGGAGATTAGAAGTTGGCATTTACCAGAGATTAGCTATCATTGCTTCTATTCCTCAGAAGCCTGTTACAAGCCCCTACCAACAGGCCCTGCTGCTCAGGAATCATTTCAGCTTCATCAAGATTTCCCCCTCTTGGAATAAATACTTAATTGCTTTTTTTTCTATCTGTGACGGAAGTTAAGTAGAGTATGTATCCCAGAATGTTCATCCAAAACTGTTCCCAATTTTTCTTCTTTTGCTTCGTATTTTTCTTCCCCCCTCTTCCTTCCTTTTCCCCTTCCTCCTTCTAATTTTATATCTTCCTTGCCCACTGA